ATCAAACAAAGAACTACATCTCCTCCCAAAATGTGACGCGTATCGTCCTTGGACGCGCACCACTCAACAACTTTGAAATCACACACTCCGCTATCGGCCAGGAGATTAAAACAGGAACTCAACGTCCTTAGGTCACCATCGTCCATGAAGATCAGGATAATGCACCACTCCTTCCGGATCAGCACCACTATCGTCCCCAATGATGGACACCAAAATACAGATACCACCGCTTCGGCCTTGGGCACAAAGTAATCGTGAGGCCTCCTCGGCCAACCCATCAAAAGCAACTGCCAGCGGTCAGAAAGAAGAAACATCACCCGCATCATATCAAAAGCTCATATTGGACACTGCTGCAGGACACTCATCGTCCTCAAACAATCTTACCTCATCGAAGGAACATCAGCCCTCTTCGTCCACAGAGAAGGACACACAATGGCCAGAACGTGGAGCGCCCATAACGGCCAAGACAGGGGAAACCCCCATAACGGTCCCACAAACGGCCAAAGAACATCAAAATCATAGAATCTACTCTCCCTCACTTCGTCTACATCTCAGCTGAGAGAGTGGGGGACTCCTGATGATATGGGCCTGGACCCCAGGGCCCACATACTCAGAAGAACAGAGGGCACCGCCGTCACCTCATAAGGTCCCCGTCGGCCAGATGACCTCCATCGGCCAGGGAGACACCAACTCAGAATATGATCCAAAAACCAGGAGAACCGGGTGCCCTCGTCGGCCGGGTCTCCGTCGGCCATGCCCTCGTCGGCCACGCTCTCGTCGGCCATGGAAAGCTCCCAGAACAGGATTTCATACTTAGTCAGTTTTACATATCTTGTATTCGGCCCAGTAGCGGTCCAGTTGTAGATGGGCCTCCCAAGCCCAAGACTTGGGAGCCCAACCCACATTTTCTCTATAAATACTCCCTTTGGGAGTAGTTGTAGGGGTTGACAAATCATTTATTGCAAAGAGTTATTGCACTTCTCTCTATCTCTCACTTCTCTCTAGGAGTTAATACTCCATCACACTTCTTTCTTTGTGAGGCAGTATCACCGCCCGTATTTCCTCCGACGATCATCCGGACCTCATGTCGGTGCCGCTGACTGCGCCTGTTATCCTCGGCCGAATCATCGTCGGAGACCATCCTGATGTCTTTCTTGCAGGGAGAACGGTCAGACCCCCATTCCTCCTCCCGGGATCTGCGTTCATGGCCACGCTTCTGGTTGGATTCTGGTTTCCGGACAAACCGTGACAGATAGCCCCGGCTGATCAATTTCTCAATTTCCAGTTTCAGCGTGTGGCATTCATCTGTCGTATGGCCATGGAACCTGTGAAACTTGCAGTAGGGGCCCGATTTGTCCCCTTGCTGGATTTCGTTGATTCGGGGATCCCATACCACCAAGCCTTCTTGATCTGCCGCCTCTAGAATGTGGCTGACAGAATGGGTCAGCGGGGTCAGGACCTCGGGTGCCATCAACTTGAGGTCGTTCCAGGGGCGTCTGGTTCTGAAGTTGCCCCTGCCCCGGTGTCGGTCACTGTCATCACGGGGCTTTTCCTCCTGCGGCTGCTTCGGTTTTTCCTGTAGCTTTTGTTCCTATTTTTGCGGCTTAGCAGCATTTTCCTGTGCCTTTTGCGGCCGTGCACTTCCTCTGCGAGGGTATAGTTCTGACCACGATGGAGTGCCCGCTGATAGTTCCGTGGGGGGTCAATGATAAGGCTCCTTGAGAAGCTGCCGGCCCACAGGACCTCCTGGAGCATGGCCAGACGAGTGTTGTCGTCAGCCTCATAGACCTTGGAAGTCTCTTCATTCCATCGTTCCAGAAATTTGCCCAAAGGTGCATCTCTGCCCTGCTTAACAGACAGCAGGTAGGAGAAGTGTTTCTTCGTCCTTGCCCTTGCAGCGAAATGTATGAGGAAGCGTGTAGCTAGCTCTCTCCATGAATCAATGGACTCATCAGGGAGATCATTCAACCAATCGTATGCCCCCCCCCCCCCCCCCCCCCCCCCTCCAAGGTGGAGGGAAACATACGACAGATGTACTCATCGCTAGCGCCCAACATGTACATGCCGGACTGGTAGTGAGTGTAATGCTCCTGGGGGTCAGTTTTACCCCCATAGAGTTGCATGTTGGGCCCCTTATACTTTGGGGGTATAGGGGCCTGCATGATCCGTGTGGCAAAGGGGGTGGCAGTCCTTACCCTCACTGTAGTAGGCTCCTGGTTAACCTGGGCCTGGAGGTGCTGGACCTGGAGCGCTTCCAGTTGGGCATCTCGCGCCGTGTACTGGGCAGGCGGTGGCGGTGGTGGTACCGCTGTGACAGCTGCAGCCCGCAGTTCATTAACCTGCTGAGTCAAGAGGCGGATCTGCTCCTCTCGAGGATCCACCCGGCGCTGGTGCCGTGGGGGAGATCCAACCTGCCGCCTTGGCGGTGATAGCCTTGGCTGACGTAGGGGTTGATGTTGTTGTTGGCGTTGTGGAGAGACGGGTTGTTGCCTTGGGGGAGAAGGTCTTTGATGATGGCATGGGGGGGGGGGCAAATCTGGGGGAATGATTGCCCCCTAGCCTCTCCAAAGCGGGTATACGCTCTGGAGTCCTTCTCCCAGGCTATTGCGGTTGTTGCCGGGGAATGTCGAAAACTGGGGAATTCGCCCTGTTAATCCCCCGTATGTTGACAGACAGGCACTGATTCGCCATGGACCCGTCCCCCAATCTGGAGAAAATGGGATGCCTTCCCACTTCGATCGAGGGATTGGGGTTGTCGTCTTGTTGCAAGGAGGAGGACTGCGAGGAGTCCTCGGTGGTGACAACATAGACACCTTCATCATTGTGGCAGCCGTAATCAACACAACATGCAATGTACCTGGATGGTAGTGCGGGAGGTGGCGGTGGCGCCATCCTCTGTGTCACCGTAGCGGGACGAGCAGTTCCCGTCTGCTGTGCAAGGGGCACAATGTTCATAGGTGCTGCAGAAGCCACCTGACGGATAGGGGGAGAGTTGATCCCCGGAGTCGCCCTCTGGCGAGGGGGAGACCGGTAGACCACCGGAGGGGTGTCAATAAAGCCCACTCTCAGAGATCAGGATCTGGAGTTCGCCGGTGAGATAGGCCTGGTGGCATGGGGAGCCACAGTACCTGCAGGCTGAGAGTGCAGTGTGGGGAGCACCTGCTGCAACCCGGAGATGAGGGCGCCAACCGCCGCAGAGGGATCCGCCATTAGAAAATTCTGGAATTGTGGGATCACTTGTGTGGACGGCATTGCCGCTGCATCACGGTTGAGTGAGATCTGCTGACGCAGATTTGGGGAAGCACGCTGAATCTGACTGCGTAGATCCACAGAAGTTCCAGCGACTTGTTTTCCCCTGGTGGCCCTCCTATCGCCAGAAGTAGCAGTAGCTTCCAGCGAAGGCTCTACCTGTGCGACGGCGGCAGCAGTACGTCAACTTCTCAGAATTCTCTTTCCAGTCATTGTTGCAGAAAAATTTGTTATAGATCTGAGAGAATCAGGAGGATCTGACTTGTTCACAGTTCGACTCTCAACGAGAGCACAAAAAATGATGGATCGTCGGACCAGGGGTAGCCCGAATCCACCGAGAATAAGAGAAAAGGGAGAGTGAGCTGATCAGAAAGTGCAGATCGTAACTCGGTTAAAATTCTCAGTGTATAAGTTTCAAGTATCAAGTAAGCATCCCTTTCCACAAGTTGGAAAGTGATATTTATACTAAGGAGAAAAGAGAAATGCTTGGTGCCCAAGCAAAAGATGCTAGACTGGTAGGAGAGGGACACATGTAAAGTTATTCTAACAAACTAACAGCCTAATTCGATGGGGAGCAGACGCGTGTAAAGCTGATTAGAGAGAGAAGGTTATCACATCTGTCTGATTGGAGTTTGTTGCTGATAGAATCGCAGCCAGAATACCCGTGTGGTTAAGCGTGGGTAACCGAGAATATTCCCTGGCGTGGATGGTGACATGGCGACATCTCCTTGTGAAGTAGATCATTGCGGATTTCGCCTAAGTCCATGATGCCTTATTCAGACCTTGAGGTTTACTGGTGTCGATGCCCGGGAGTTTGGGCTCGTGATGGAAGGGCTCGCCCCTTTGTCTTCCGTTTCCGCCCTCGAGTTAGTTGACTGCCCGGTGTTTGATTACCTCTGACCAAATGTTTGACTCCCGGGGCCAGACCTGGTACTGACCTCGGATGCATCGAGGTCGGGCTCATAACTTGCAGAGTTCGGTTGATCCGTGAGCCCAATGTTTTCCCGACATCGGGGTCGGGATCGGTCGACTTCGTTATCCACTGAGTCTGGTTGATTCCTGAGCTTGCTGTTTCCTCGACCTCGGCAGTCGGGGTCGGGTTCAGTCTCAGATGTGGGCTTAGTAATTTTGCGCCCTTGATGGACTCGCCATGCTTCCTACCGGCGATTATGATACCCCTGGAGTATATGAGAATATACTCCATCACCTGCTTAGAAACACAATATAAAAACAGCGTATAGACATCTGATATGCATAACCAAACACATCATAAACAAATGAAAAAGTATTAATAACACAATATGCATTTGTTTGCAGGTGAAAATACGTTAAACAATAAGTGTTTCTACAAAATTTGGTGTGCACTATTTCATCCAATAATAGAGAGACTACCACTTTTCATGGTTTTCTTTATCGTTTTGGTCATGGTCTTGGTCATCAATCAGCCCTGGATCCGCTGACACCTCCATAGTGCCTACAAAACGAACGATTGACGAAGAACGATTGCAGCACCCCACTCCGGCGACTACAACTACTAGGAGGCCATTCCACCTACCAAATACACTCCTCAATCATCTTCTTCAACCTCTAGGTACATCAAATCCCCAATTTCATCTCATTTTTGAACTTAGGGTTTAAAGTGATAATTTTCAAATTTGTTAATTAGGAATTGATTTGTGAATTGATTTGTTGTGATTATTTACATATTAGCATGTAAATATGTATGAAATCCATGGATCACGAATTGTTAGGAAAGTGTTTATTGGCCGCCTTACAATGGATCACGAATTGTGCACGACCCATCCATGCTTCGTGCAAAGGGACGATCAAAGTTCACACGAATTAAGAATGAGATGGATGAAGGTGGCAGAGGAACCGTAAGATGCGAAATATGTAAACAAACCGGTCATAATAGGGCCACGTGTGTGAAGAGATCTTCAGGAGATGGTGGGGGGGGGTCCACTTCGTAAGTATTTAATTATTAAATTCCGCAACTCATAGTAATGTGAATTATAAAATAATGATTTCAAATTATTTATTAATTACTGACTAACTACCTTTTCATTTTTTGTAGGCACTATGAAGGTGTCACACTGTGTCAGCAGATCCAAGGCTGATTGATGACCAAGACCATGACCAAAACGATAAAGAAGACCATGAAAAGTTGTAGTCTCTCTATTATTGGACGAAATCATGTGCACCAAATTTTGTAGAAACACTTTACTTTTTAACGTACTTTCACCTCCAAACAAATGAGTATTGTGTTATTAATACTTTTTCATTTTTTATGACGTGTTGATGTGTTTGGTTATTGTTGGGAATATTTTAAGGTGTTTAATCTAGTTAGTTATCTTTGTATTTGTGTAGTTATCAATTAAACGTGTAATACGGGCCACAAATGTGTATCAGCCCGTGGGCTTCCTTGTAACCCGTAAGTTAGCCAACTTCTCCTATAAAAGGAGGCTAACTTACGGGAACCCAAACTAATCGACAGAGGCTTAGAGGCGTAGAGGCGAGATAGAGAGAAATTAGGGTTGCCGCTGCTCTCCTTCTCCAGGGAGAGTAGCGGCAGGTTCATACGGTATACCAGATTCACGTTCAATCTTATCGATTTCTTTCTATCTGTTTCTTTATCACTGCTATGGTTGTATGATTGTTAATATTTTGGGACTAACAGTTATGCATATCAGATGTCTATACGCTGTTTTCATATTGTGTTTCTAAGCAGGTGTGTCGCTTTGTATCATTTTTACCAAATTGTGTCTTGTATGTGTTCTGTAAGTCGTCAAACTATGAATTGCGATAATCGAGATCGATTTAGGCTGAAAACGCATTTTTTCACCACCGGGGTGCCCCTGACCGGCCCCGATTGGGCCCAGACCGGCGCTATTTGGGAAGGGGACAGTCGCCAAACGGTTTGACGACTTTCCCCGACCAGAGTTAAGCCCAACAGTATATTGATAAATAGTTTTAACCCAACATTAATTCCGTAATTATTTAATTAATTAGCATTAATCCGGAAGAAAATTCCACACTTAGCTAGTAATTATTTTCAAAAAATGAATTCGTCATCCAATAATTTGATGACATATGATAAGCATTGTTTTGATTAAAATAATACTCCTTCCATCCCAATAAATTCTTCCTAGTTTGACTTGGTTCGCAAATTAAGAAAGTGGAAATAAAGTAGAAATGTATGGTTGTAGTTGTGTAAGAAAAAGATAAATGAATGTGAGCCACACAATTTTTCCAAAAAGATAAGTTGGAAGAATTTTTTGGGATGACTCAAAAAGGAAAGTTGGAATAATTTAATGGGATAGAGGGGGTATGAAGTATTACTTTTTCATTTATGATTTCTTTTACAAAAAATATATCAAATCAAAGAATTTTTTATTATCTTTCATATGACATCAATATTGTATATCTAAAACTTAAAAAATACGGAGTAGAATTTATTAAAAATGTAATGGAAACTTTGTTTTATTCAAATAAGACGTTCATGTAGCAACTAAAGGGCTGAAGGTTAAATGTTAAGAGTTAATGTTTGAATTGTTTACACTTAATAATCAAAATAAGTTAGGTTGAAGTTATACTTCGGATTGAATTGGCCGAAGTTACTATTGAAAATCATTTTAGCTATTTTCATGCATTATTTATTTATTGTATTAATAAAATATAATTTTTTTTCATAATTTAGCAGATTCGGCCAATTCAACTACTTTAGCAAGAATTTCATTAATTTCAGCAGAATTAACCAATATGCTCAATTTCAATGTTACCAAATATGCTCGACATGTGTTTCGATTATATAAAATTAGTTTTTTGCTTTATTATTTTATAGTTTTTCAATCTATATGTTTTTTGATTTTATACGTTTTTAAAATATACATACACTAGAAATTTATCTGATTTGGCTAGACTTAAATAGAGTAAATCAAATTTAGGTAGAATGTACTCATGAGTTTCTTTTTTATTTGATACCAGTACGGCAGTACCAATGTATTTATGTAACTTTAAGGATTTTGTAATTGGAATGATTTCAAACTCAGACCAAACAAAATCAAACCGATCTTAAATAGATTAGACAAGACTTATTTTTTAGTTCAATTTAAACATACTAAAGATATTGTTAATGCATATTGTACTAATTTGTTGTGCGTATGAGATAAGATTTCTTACGGAGTATAAAAAGAAGAAAAGCACTCAGGTTCTATTAAACAAAAAAATACGTAGGTTAGAAGCAAAAAATCAGATTCAAGTTAGGGAATAAAGATGTGCTTTGGTCATATTACTAAACATTTTTTAAGGGGCTAATTTGTCACTTTAAGGTGAAAAATTAGTGCTCCATTTGCAAGGTTCCTTCCTTAAAACTTTGTTAAGTCTGACCGACACGAGATTAATAAAGTAAAAATTATATGGTTAAGTTTTGTGCAAAGGAGATAAAATAAATTGGAACCACAAATTTTTTACTTTTAAACGGGAAAAACGCCAAAGTTAGCTGGAGTAGATAGGATTGACCCCGAGCTGGCCGGCGTATGTGGTTTTAGTCGATTCCCGGTCCAATTTCTTGACATTCGGAGTTGCTACCGAAACCGGCCACCGGCGCCCAAAATTGGATAATCCCGCCCCGGCGGCCTCTCTGTACGGAACTCGTAATCTCGCGAAGAAAACTTCTCTCTGCCAATGGAATCTCGTCATGCATCTCTGGGTCGACGGACGGTAAGGATCTCCGTTATGGCAATTGCATTCCAGTTTCTTATCCGTTATCTTATATGGTTCTGTTTGCTCTTTTTCCGGGTGATGTTGAATTCACAATTCAGCTAGAAGAAATTCGCCAGAAGAGAGCCGCAGAGAGATTGATCAAAGCGTCTTCTGGACCTGATCTGACCAAAGCTATTGCTATTTCTAACGGTATTCGCGTTCTATTATCGTGAAATTTAATTTCACCTTCCTTGTTTTTAACACTTTTGGCGCAGATGTTTCCCAGATAAGAAAGTCAGAGAGTGCACAAAGGATCGCGGAGGTATTGAGCTCTTATCATCTTGGAAATCTGTCTAGATATCCAACTAATTTCATTATGTGCCCATCGGCGCACATTATATAAAACCATCTTTAAATTTAACGGGAGATTCGGGATCTTGCAGTTAAGAAATAAGGCTTCATATCATCACATGTAGTGACGAGTGCCTGAATATTTCCATAATTTTTCTTACCCGTTTTTGTTTTTTAAACTATGAAATGCAGGATGACATTTCAGAGTTGGTTTCTCAATTACAGCAAATGCAAAAGAAGAATGCTGACCTAGAAGAAGAAAACAAAACACTGACCTCAAAGGTAAGGCACATTAATGGTGAACTTGTTTTTTCCCTACAAAGAACTTCAATTTAAATGCTAAATCACAGAGAAATTTGTTTTTATTATATTTATCAGCTTTGGACAATAGAAGCTGAGAATGGCACATTCCAGAAGCGTCTCAATGATCTGGTAAGTGTAAGTCATTCCTGTTAAGCATTTGCAATATAATCCATTTGTAAGCCTTGAGGGTTTTCTAATTTTCAGGAGCAAAATACTGTACCATCATTGCGTAAAGCACTCAGGGATGTGGCAATGGAAAAAGATGCTGCAGTGGTTGCAAAGGTTCATATTATCCACCATTTCTTCAAATCCTAACTTTGTTGAAGTTTCATTTGACCAATAAACTCTGCTTCTAATTTGTTGGTATAGGAGGATCTGTCAGCCCAGGTACGAGCACTTAAGAAACGGTTAAAGGAGGCAGAAGAAGAGCAGTATCGGGTATGATAGCAGTTTCTTTAGTAAAGCAGTGAAATCAGGTCAATTAACGGCCCAGATACAGTTAATTCCACGTTTGCTTAATTGCTGATTGTATATTTACAAATTTACTTATTTATTTGCATTAGGCTGAGGAGGATACAGCCGCTCTTCGAGCAGAGTTAAACTCGTTACAGCAACAACCAATGAGTGGTTCACTTAGTGGCACCAATTCTATGAGCTTTTCACCTGATTACATGCAAACAATGGAAACAGAGCTTGCCAATTTAAGATCCCTTCTTGAGGTTAGATTCAGTGCTCAAAGTGTTTTACGTTTGTCTGAGCAAGTTTTAGTTGATAACTGATAAGTAAGTTGACATCAGCTGTTAAAAATAACAGCAAGAGTCCATGTTGAGAGAACAAGAGCAACACCGGTTAGCAGAGGAACAGGCTCGGACAACTACCCTTACTTCGCAAAAGCATGACTTAGAAGAGAAGCTTGCAGTTCTTTCCAAAAAGATATCAGGTATTAGAATGAGTATCATTCCGGACCATTCTTGAACCATTTTTTGTCTTTTACTAATCATAGTTTGAATGCAGAATGAATGTAAGTTTTTATCATGTTCCTTCTGATTTTCTTGATATGATGTGTGTGTACGTGCATGTTTGTGAGTGTGTATTTATTCTCATTTTCCGGGGATTGTAGTAAGATTCGAATTTAGCACTTGAATCAGTAATTGCTGTATTTTTCATTAGCTTACCTTTGCCTATAAGGTCATTCTTTTTTGTTTTTTAGGGAGGGGTGGGGGGTCGTATACATAAAAAAATAATATTCTTGATCTCATGACTGCAGAGGATGTCGCTCAAAAGGATTCTGATGGCACATTCTCAATGGTAATAAATAACATCTTTGGTTGGTTGCGAGTTAGCTTAAATTCTGAATGTTGCTTGCTTTGTTTTCTTGAGTATTTTTTATGCGAAAAAACCATCTTGTTGCAAAATCCAGAAATTTGATGCTTGTTGCTCCATGGTTCGTTCTTTAGAAGTAGTTATAAAGCATTTGGAGTAATGTTTTTCACCATGTACAGCGGTAAAATGAAAAGAATGTGTGGCGATGAATATTTATTGTCTTCTCATCATGACTAGCTTTGAGTCGTCTTATATTTGTGAGGCGAGGTATAAGCCTCAAACTTTATATAGAACTTTTTATAGAATTCAAAATTACGAACAATCTAAAACATATTATCAATCATACATAAAGTTAAAGAAACTATGTTACTTGTGAAGTTATTGTTCAAAGCATCATCATCATCACCCCGGTGCCGCAAAGGCTCCCACCTATGGTGAGGTAAAGGGGATCAGATGTACGCAGTCTTATCCCTGTACTAAAACACAGAGAGACTGTTCCCTGATTACCCATAGTAGTTATTTTTCAAATAAAAAGAAAAAAATATGTGGTGGTTTTTGAGTTATCAAACCTTGCTGGAAAGAAAAGAAGATAAAAGTATTTTGGGAAATAGATATAGGGCTTTTGATGGGATTAGTGACGAATTATTGAAATATAATACATCCCATAGGACTTGTATTTAAAAATAAGAAGCCAAAAAGAAAACTTAAAACTAAAAAGTAAAATCATGAGGCTCAATCCTCCCAAAATCCTCTATGCTAGCTTAAACATCACAAAACGCTTCAACCATCCAAGGCTTAAGCCTCAGTTCCTTTGCTCGAGGATTAAGCCTCTAGGCTTTTTTCACCGCCTGACACTGAGGCGAGCCCAAAGAACGCCTTTTAATAGGATGCTAGTTGGTTAGTGGTTGCATGCGTCCTTTTTTGCACTGATAAATACACAGTATTGGACTACTGAATGAATGAAAAAGGAAGGAAATTACTAGTGAATTTGGGGATTATTCCTACCTTATCTGAATCATGATTTCTTGATTCTTTTAGTAAATTAAATTTTTTATTTCTTTGTGCCTCTTTAGTAAACAGAATCAAGAGATGGAAGAAGAGTCCGATACTCCCATGAGGAACTCTCTAGCCTGGCTGAAACTGGCCCAACAACCTAAGCTATTACAAAATACATTTTGCATACTTCTTTGTAGAACAGTCATCTGTTTAAACTAAACCACTTCTATTATAAAAGGTAACATGGACTAAAAGAAGTAAGGTAGAAATGTTTAAACTCCAATCCATGATCCTGAAATCAAACCCCACAATTCTGCTTGTAGTTTTGGAGTTCTCATCCTTTTTTATTCATTTCCGGTATGAATTGGCTATCCAGTGCTTCACATCCAGTACTCCTGTGTACCTACTACATACATACACACTGCATTAATGCAAGGGCTTTGCGCATTAAATCTGGTATCTAGTGTCTGATACAGGCACATCTCATGATATAGCCGCTTGAAAGGAACTTTGAGAAGTATTGTGGAAGAAGACTTTTGATCATCATCATCATCATCGTTATTATTTCCATTGTTATTATTAATTCCTTTTACTAGTATTACTATTAGTTTCCATTTCTAATTATTTGTAGTAATTTCCTATGTCAGTGTATGCATTTTATTTTTACAAATATTCCTAATAGTTTTTCCATCATTTGCAATGGAGCCAAAGATTAACTGTTTTTTTGGCTTGAGAATATGATGGAATAAAGCAAAATGGCTCACAAAACTGTCTGAGCTTCTTTATTGTAAAGCAACAGTCGGTCTATGTATTTTTCGACACGATTTTCACTATGGGTCATTCGAAAACAGTCTCTCTGTGCTTTAGTACAGGAGTAAGACTGCGTACATCCGACCCCCCTTACCCCACCGTTGGTGGGAGCCTTTGCGGCACCGGGGTATTGATGATGATGAAATATTCCTAATAGCATTATTTTGTTATATTTAAGGATACTCTAATATTAGTCTACCAAGAATCTTGTAACTAGTATTAAATATGAATAGAGGTGATGTATTCATTAATAATAGCATCTATAATGTTGGAGTTATTCTTTGGAGTCTTGACAAGCCCCAACGCCACCTTCCCTTGCCTAGGATGTAGAAGTTCTTCATGTTTATTGTTTTTAATAATAATAATAATAATAATAATAATAAATTCTTCAAAATACGTCTCCATGTTCTTTTCGAGCAGCTCTATCGAGAGATGCACCTGTATCATCGTCAGAATTTGATTTAATAACTATTGTACATTTTTCTTTGTTCTCCCTCTCTGCGTGACTCAAAGTCACCTCTATTCTGATTCTTACTACAGATAATTCTCCTACCCCTTATTCTTTAAGAAAGTCAAATAAAGTTTGTTCTGTTTTGAGTTAAATGTTGGCCATGCTTTTAGAAAGACAAGGAGAAACTTGAGAACCAATTGCATGACATGGCTGTAGCCATCGAAAGATTGGAAAGCAGCCGGCAAAAGCTGCTGATGGAGGTAGCATATTTTGTGCTTTTGTCTTTTTATATGTCTAACCCATATTAGCTTATAATATATAGCAGGAATTAGCTTCTTTATGTTATTGCTTCACAGATTGATTCTCAGTCATCAGAAATAGAGAGATTGTTTGAAGAAAATTCAAATCTTTCATCTGCCAATGAGGAAGCAAACAGAGTCATAGTGCAGTGGGAGAATCAGGTACCTATGAAGAATCAGTCTATTTTTACATGGAGTATATAGAGTTTGAGTCTTGAGGCCCATAATACATTGCAAGTGGTTTCAGACCCTATGGATACCTTTTCAAACATAACAAGTAAATAATAACAATAAAAAAAATCGGTGCTTGTAACTTTTGCCACAGGAAAATAAATCATTCTTTGGATTTGACTTTTAGCTTAATGAGCTTCAATAGTTTATGCAAAGTTCTATTTTTGAATGCTAACACAAATAGGAGAAAAGAACACGCGGGTTGTGTGAAATTATAAAATTATCTAGACAGTTGTGTTAAGTGTGTAGACTGGAAAGTGCACTATATACATGACAAATGAAAGAGTAACTAAATCCTTGACATATCCACCGACTCAGTGACAGAAAAAGATTGAAATCCAGCGGCTCCGCAAAGTGAGGGATTGCTGATTGTTTCTGTACGGGGTCACTGGATTGTGTTCCTTATCACTAAGGCTCTCGGACTTGTCACTGATTTAGTTAGTTTTTTGTCCAAATAAGGTTTCTTTTTTGTCTATCTTAACCTCATGAGTCCTATTTCTCTCCTTAACCAAGTAGTAATAGTGGCTTAATCATTTTGCAACTCCTAATCATTCTCAAAGAAAGGGAAAAGTTTGTCAAGAAACAAAGTGTTTGTGTGCAAAGGTGTTGAAGTAGTGTTGATGGTTGCAGTAAAAAAAACCTCTGCAGCTAGCAAAAAAGATTTCATAGCAGTGGTGTGAGGGTGATACTTCAGCCCCACTCTTTGTAAGATTTCATAGCAGTGGTGTCCAAAGGCTAAAAGCAAGTTATTTTGCATCTTACAGGTGAAAGATTGTATAAAACAAAATGAGGAGCTACGCAGCTTGTTAGAAAAACTTAGAACTGAACAAGCAGGTTTAGAAATTTCCGATGACAAGCTAACTCATAGAGGCTTGGTTGGCTCCAATAGAGAAGGTGAAAATGGCACTCAAGCCCCAGATTCTGCACCTGATGTTGTCTCTCTTAAGGTCTGTATTGAGTGTACAGTTTTTTTAGTATCTGTTTGTTAACATTCATGTCTTCACTATTCACATATCAATACACTTTTACATTCATCCTGTTCCACTTCTTCCGTTCATGTGAACTTGTGGTGTTTGTATTTTTTAATATTCATCCCCCGGTTATACTAAAACCCGGGGGGATGAATCTGTAGCGATGTCCCGTCAGTAACATATGAGAATCTGTAGCTATTATGTTTGATGGTGGGAAATGGTTAACTGCCTCATTTATAATGGTGGAAAATGCCAAGGATCAAAATGATAAGTTATTTCCGTGTTTGGTTTTACACTCGAGGAAGATAAATATGGTTATTTAAAATAAAAATAAAAAGTGTATTTAGATGCTCTTTATATAATAGACTTCAAAAAACAAAATGAGTATCAACAAATATCAATATAATTTTATTAAGTTTTACCATAACTTTATTCCCCCATATTTCCTTTATTTCCAATTATCCTCAATGTTTTTTTCCCCAGGCATTTTCTTATTCTTTTTACGAATGGCTGTATTTCTTCAGGGTCAACTTGTGAAAGAACAGAGCAGAGCAGAAACATTGTCTGCACAAGTTTTAAAACTATCGGTACAACTCCAGCAAGCCACACAAGCATACAATGGACTAGCCCGCATGTATGCGTGTAACCTTAACTGTCTTTTTTATTTCCTGTAAAAATATACTCCTTCCATCCCAGTTAAAGGCTCTCGTCTCTTTTGGATGACCCATTTAAAGGTTTTCATTTCTATTTTAGGAAATAATTAATTACCTTTCTCAAATGACAATCTTATCATCACATATTAAAATTATACTCATAACATCACCATTATCGTAAACTACCTCATTATATTATATATCCTTCCAAACTAATACTCAAACCATACTCAAATAGTCAAATTACCTCATTATAGACTTATAGTATCTAGCCTTTCCAAATTCCAAGTACTCATTTGATAACCTGTACGATCTTTTCTATTTACTATGATATATTTGCCTTTACAGCTACAAGCCTGTGCTTCGCAACATTGAGGGCAGTCTTTTGAAGATAAAGCAAGATGGGTCCGAGGTTTTGCTTAGAGCTTGAGAATCAATGCTCGCCTTGGTCATATTTAAATATATTTGTTGAATTGTTGATTACGTATTTTTCATTTTCGCCAAATTTATTGTAAATGTGTGATTACAAATTATGTAAGAATGCTTAACTTGTAAAATGTTGTTTCAAAAGTTGAATGAATATAAGAAATGTTTTCTTAGCCCTTCCATCAGAGTGAGCTTTTGGGGTAGCACGTAGTACCTCTGTCCCAAAGTAAGATTCCCGTCCACAATTCAACTTAAATTGTTCTTAATATTTACTATATATATTTCACTTTTATAAAATTTGATAATTTTGTGACTATAAAATGTTAATGTAGTTTTTATTACATAAATCTTATTTACTAAAAATAATAATATACATAGTAATTATTAACACGGATCAGTTAACTTTATGTCATTCAATCATCCTAAACTGAAATAAGAACTTTTGCTCGGAGGCTTGAACGGAATAATACCTATGCACTTAGATTGTTAGGGACAAAATTGGAATATTCTAGTATATTACCAAGCTAATCAGATTATTCCATTTTCTTACAAGTACAAATTTTTTAGGACAAAGGCCAAATAAAGCTAGTCCTTTATAATTAGTTAAAAGGAAAATCTAATTGAAAATAACAGCCTAAGGCCCATGTGTCATGGACGCCTCCCAATACGGTATTTCACAACAGAGACTGAGATGGCGTTGAAACAAAACTTGAAAGGATTCACCAATACTCCCCACAAGAACAAATCCCATCTCTGAAATGATGAAAACGGTTTATATCTCTAACATATATTTCACGGCTGGTAACTTTGGAAACGTACTTTGTGAAAGTGTGACAGTCTTCACACAACCTCAAGTTCTTAGTAATCCTGATAGCTTCACCTTTACTTCCATTGATCAATCCAAACCCGACCGCCAATTTTTCACTATGACTTAATAAAATCACCCCTTCCTCATCTCTTTCAAGACCGCACGTCCTTTTTATTGTGTAACTGTCATTCTTCATCTCCTCATAAAGCTTTACCAACAATTCACGAACCTCCTCCATTTGGGCGGTAATATCGTCAAGCGATGTGATAGAGTGCATTTTCCTCCTGACCTCAATCCAGCTGCAACCAGAGAGTTTTTCCAGACCTATGGAGTCTAAGAGTTTCTTTACTCTTTTGACATCATCCCATAACCCAGCTTCTGCATAAATATCAGTCAAAAGGACATAGTTCCCCGCATTTGTGGGTTCGAGCTCGAAAAGTCTCTGGCTCGCCCTCTCAGCTAGCCCAACATTACAATGAATCCTACACGACCCGAGAAGGGCTCCCCAAACTTTAGGGCCTGGTTCCATCCGCATGTCATCTATGATTCTAGAAGCTTCATCTAGGCGGTTGGCTCTCCCGAGAAGGTCCACTACTGAAGCATAGTGCTCCTCGCTAGGGGAGATCCCATGTTTCTTCATCATGGACTCAAACAACACCATCCCTTCCTCAACAAGCCCGGCATGACTGCACGCCCCCAAAACACTAATGAAAGATATTGGAGTTGGGGGAATTCCTTTTTGAAGCATTTCATGAAACATTTCAACGGCTTTGGGCCCATGCCCATGAATCCCGTATCCCGAAACCATAGAATTCCAAAGGACCACATCATTCTTATCTGTCTGATCAAATATAGATTGTGCAGTGTCGAGATTTCCACACCGGGCATACATGGTAATCAAGGCACTAATGACAGGGGTAATTGTGTCAAGTCCGTTTCGGAGTACATATCCGTGTAATAACTTCCCTTGCTCAATTGCAGCCATTGCTCCACAAGCTTGAAGCACACTCACCATTGTTACTGAGTTAGGGATCAGACCACTGTTGTGATTAACCATCCTATGAAATAGGTGCAATGCAGCAGAGGGTCTGCCATTTTTTACATAACAAGCTATCATAGCACTCCAAGAAACGACGTTTTTATCTGGAATTATATGAAAAACATGGGTGGCATAATCCAGACAGCCGAATCTTGCATATGTATCAACCAAAGTAGTCATGACATGAATCTGAGTCTCAAACCCATGTCTCAAAATATGAGCATGGATTTCTTTTCCAATCTGAAGGACAGATGACTCAAAAGTAACACAAGCCTTCAACACATACGTATATGTAAACCTATCAGATGGAACACCCATGGAGTTCATCTGTCTGTAAAAAATAAAAACCTCCTCGCCTTTACCAGCCAAAGTCAATGCCCTAAAGAGAGCATTCCAGACGTATATCGTCCGGTCAGGAATTTTTTCAAACACATGGCGGGCGTCGGAAATGGAGTCCAATTCAGAGTACATGTTTATAAGCTTAGTCGCCAAGAAGGGATCTCGATCAAACCCATTGTCGACAAGCATGCGGTGAACATTTTTGGCGTCGGGCAGCGATTTTTTATGAACGCATAATAATGTAAGAAGCTCGTAGGTTCGTTGGGTCGGGTTGGACTCCTGAGAGAGAAGATGAATAGCTTGTTTCAGATGACCTTTCTTGCATAAAGATTGTATTAAGGGGTTGTGGTTGCTAACGGCGGTGTTCGGGGCGGCGATGGAGCGGGAGGATGAGCAAGTTGGATGGCTGAAGAGGAGGCGTGAGGGGGTGTGGACAGTCCACATTTACATCAAAATGCTCTTTAGCTGCAACAAATATATGAGAACTACCATAGAAATTAGTACGAGTTTAGAAGAAACGATTGCAGAAATCTAGATTAAAACATTTCTGGGAACAATAGGGAAGTTGAAGAATAGTGAGTAAAACAAGAAAAGATCTAAAAATACAAAAAAAAAGATAGCGCCGTTGCCGGGGATCGAACCCGGGTCACCCGCGTGACAGGCGGGAATACTCACCACTATACTACAACGACTTGCTGATAAGGTAGTATAGAGAAGCACAAAAGTCTCATACGCGTTCGAAGCAGATATTTTGTGACTTGAAACATTTCCCGGAAAGGAAAGCTAAATCAAGAAATTACAGAATAGGAGAAGGAATGGAATTCTTATTCAAAAACTTTGAGAAAGAAAATATAGATTTTACATACGGGTCGTCGGTGAAGATAAGTTTTCTTGTGGAAATGTTTCCGAAATATGACTAAAACAGTTTGAAAATCCCAAAATAGGACTGTCATGTTTTTTATTCCCAAAATAGGAGTAATTACTGTCAAGTTTAGAAAAAACTGTCATCTTTGAAGTCCGGTACTGCTAAAACATGATAGTAATTAGTCTTATTTTGGGGAAAAAGACATTACAGTCTTATTTTGAAATTTTCAAATCTTTTTAGTTCTATTTGAGGTAATATTCTCTTTTCTTTTTCACGTGGTCTTAGGAGGTGGATACATAAAAAATGTGTTTTTGGCTCAACATGAGATCACGGAGGAACCAAAAAACTACGGAATTTAGCGACATACCTCCATTTCAATTAAAAACGGAATAAATGGAACAAGCAAATTGAACTCAAGTTAAAATATAATGAATGAGTTTTGGTATTGTAATTGCATCTCAGTTGTTGAGATTTAGACACGAAACTTATCTTATGTGATAACCTTTTCTATTAATTTTGGTGTCATTGTATGAATAATGTTCAGTGTACATGCTTGTTTACATGTCTCTTCTTTTTATTTATGAACAAATAATTACTTTTTTGTTTTTATAAAGTAAAGTATGTACTACCTCCATTATCTTTTAATTATAAATTGGACTTTTTGCACTATTCACAGATTATACTTTATTTATATTTTATTTATTGATGTATTTTGAATTAATTTTTTTTTAAAATATTCTTAAATTCTTCTCATTCTAAATTTTCAAAATCTAAATTTTTTAAATTTTTTTACTAATAAAGAATGAAAGATATTAATTGTCAAAGGTGAAAAATGGACTGATGTCATCTTTCTGTTTTGAGACGTCCCTTAAAACTTTGTCACTTTCTTTTTAAAACAATTATTTTGTGGTTTCTATTATTTGTCTCTCATCTGCGCAAACCTCAACCACACAATTTAAATCTTATTTTTCTCCGTGCGGATCAATTTTGACAAAATTTTAAAAAAAAGAGGTAGTATTAATTTAAAAAAGTGAATTGTCTATGTCATATACTATTAGAATCAACCAAAAACCTCCGGGCCTGCTTTAATTAAAAAATCAATAGTGCCAAAGTAAATAAGTAATGGCTAATTAGCCACAAATATACCCTAATCTAATGGTCTCCCATCCAATACGCCAACGGCTTAAAGCCTCCGATTTAGCTTCCGTAAATGGACAATGGAGTGCCGTTAGGCCTCTGCAGGTTGGGGGCTGGTGTATCCTTTTTTTTCGATTTAGCTTCCATCAATCTGTAGATACAAACTCAGGGTTGTTAAAGTATAACTTCTCTTCACTGTTCTGTGCGGGCTCCTGTGAATTAGACCAACTTCAGAAGAAATTTTACTTCATGTTTCCAGAAATCACTTCTTTAGTTCTTTCCCTAGGTAAACAATGGCGGCATCCTCTCTATTACATTTATACTCTTTGTAGTTTATTTTAGAATGATGACTATATTTTTAATGTTTGGCTGTGAGTGAATTGTTGTTTGCTATTGCTTTTTTACTAATGAGATAATTTCCTTGTTGCTCTTGCCCTTAGTTACATAAATTATGTAGTCAAAGTGTTCGATAAAAATCCTGAACCAAAATAGGACTACTAGGTAGTAGGTACATATGTGTATCTTGTACCGTGAGGTCTGTAGGGCGGCAGTGAACTCGTCAAAGTGCGGCATCACTGGCAGACTTGCTTTAGGGTGGCGGAAGCCTAGTCTGTACATTTCTGGGAAAGCTTTTAATTTTATTTCATCAAAGGTAATTTAGTGATATTAGTACAATCTTAGTTCTATTAAAATGTCGAAGTCATACATATTTATGCACTTCTAATTTAGGGAACTGTATCATGTGAGGTAGGTTTTCATATACGGAGTAATTAGTTATTATGCACACCAAGTATGTTTCTTGTGAATATGTTATTATTGACTCAAGCCATACATTCAACAATTACATTAGGAGTATTAAGTATATATATTAATTTCTGATTATTCTTAAATAGAGTATGGTAATAAGAGCTTTAATTTATACGGAGTAATTCATGCGTTGACTCTAGTTATCCCTACACTGCTAAGCACGCATATATATGTCGTTAATAATTTATCTCATTTATTTCATTGCAGCTGACGAAGGCGATTATTATTAAACTTTCAAAGTGGGTGCGGTGTAGTTTCTGACGGCGTCATCCTTGGCGGCGGCAGAATATGGAGCGGGTGGTGGTGACTGCCCGTACGAAGGTGGAGATGGAGAGTATGGAAGCTGAGGTGGTGATTGTCCGTATGGAGGTGGGGAGGAAACAGTTGGAGATGGAGGAGGTGAATATGTTGGTGAAGGCGGCGGTGGTGAATATGCTGGTGGTGGCGGTGAATAAGTTGGCGTCGGTGGTGGTGAATAAGTTGGGGGAGGCAGTGGTGGTGAATAAGTTGGGGGAGGCGGTGAATAAGATGGGGATGGTGGCGGTGGCGAATAAGTTGGCGGAGGACGAGGGGTATAGCTGCCCGATGGCGGAGACGGTTGGGTAGAAGGTGGTGTATGACCTCTAGGTGGCGCGTGATGATGGTGATGACTCGGTGGATTATGGTGTCCAGTAGATGGTGGTGATTGATGGCCACCAGAGGAGGGAGGTGGTGAGCCACCGTAAGAGGGCGGTTGGTTTCCACGTGTGGGAGGTGAAGAGCCACCATGGGATGGGGGATTGTACCCACCAGAAGGTGGCTGGTACCCACCATGAGAAGGTGGATTGTACCCATGAGAGGGTGGATTGTACCCACGAGAGGGTGGTCGGTTGCCACCCGGAGACGGAGGTGGATTTCTGTAATAGGGAGATTGAGATCCACCACCTCTTGATGGCGGTTGATGATGATGTCCATGTGAAGGAGGAGAATAGCCGCCGCCTTGGGAAGGTGGTTGGTGTCCATGTGAAGGAGGAGAATATCCGCTGCCTTGGGAAGGTGGTTGGTGTCCATGTGAAGGAGGAGAATAGCCGCCGCCTTGAGAAGGTGGTCGGTGTCCATGTGAAGGAGGAGAATAGCCGCCACCTTGGGAAGGTGGTTGATGTCCATGTGAAGGAGGAGAATAGCCGCCGCCTTGGGAAGGTGGTTGGTGTCCATGTGAAGGAGGAGAATAGCCGCCGCCTTGGGAAGGTGGTTGGTGTCCATGTGAAGGAGGAGAATAGCCACCGCCTTGGGAAGGTGGTTGATGTCCATGTGAAGGAGGAGAATAGCCGCCGCCTTGAGAAGGTGGTTGATGTCCATGTGAAGGAGGAGAATAGCCGCCGCCTTGGGAAGGTGGTTGGTGTCCATGTGAAGGAGGAGAATAGCCGCCGCCTTGGGAAGGTGGTTGATGTCCATGTGAAGGAGGAGAATAGCCGCCGCCTTGGGAAGGTGGTTGGTGTCCATGTGAAGGAGGAGAATTGCCTCCGCCATGAGAAGGTGGTTTATGTCCATGATGAGGTGGTGGCGGGTTAGAACCGGAGTAAGGGGGAGACCCACCACCAGATGAAGGTGGTTGATGATGGTGTCCATGATGAGATGAAGGTGGCGGTGTGTACCCTTGTGATGGAGGAGAATAGCTGCCGCCTCCTTGAGAAGGCGGTTGATGATGATGTCCATGTGATGGTGGAGTCCTCCCATGATGAGATGAAGGCGGCGGTGTGTACCCTTGTGACGGAGGAGAATAGCTGCTGCCGCCGCCTTGAGAAGGCGGTTGATGTCCATGTGAAGGAGCATGGCCATGATGAGGTGGTGGTGGGTTAGAACCGGAGTAAGGCGGCGTGTAGCCTTGTGAGGGAGGGGAATAGCCTCCGCCGCCATGAGAAGGCGGTTGATGTCCATGTGAAGGAGGGGTACGGCCATGGTGAGGTGGTAGCGGGTTAGAACCGGAGTAAGGTGGAGACCCACCACCGGATGGGGGTGGATATCCGTATCCACCGGAAGGATACTGTGAATTTGCTGGTATAACAGCAGAGAGGAGGATTGAAACAAGTATGAGTAAGAGATGCTGATGAAGTAATGCTGAAGATGTGATAGCCTTCTTCATGTTTAGTAAACTGCAAAGTAAAAAGAAGCTAGTATAGCTGTGGGGGGGTTGAGTTGAGAAGTGAAGAAAATTGGAAGTGGGAGAAGAGTATTTATATGAGGGAGAAAGAGACACTTGGAAAAGCCACCAGAAAATGAGCAATTTCTTCTGACTCATAAATTGGATTCAGTTCATGCAAGGCATCCACGTTCAAACTCTTATCGTCATTATCAGGCATAATTAATACAGAAGGAACGTGCATTGGGAACATGCTTGCAAGCTTGAAATGATCCAGAGTTTATGGCTTCCTGCCACCCAGCCGCTAGTCTAAGGTCTTCTTAAATTATGGAACAGAGATGCCCTTTTCTCTCCATATATTCCTCAGCCCTTCCATTCTTTGTTTTATTTGTTTATAAACAATAATTTGCTGCGCAAACTTCCCGAGTTTGGAAAACTATATCATTATAAGGATTTTGGACTTTTTTATTTGATTAGTTTGAATCCCACACTGCATCACACACTACATCTCATACTTAAAGCAGATTAGATCAGATCACATCATGATAGAAGAACGAACAAATCATTAAGAGCAAATCAGAAAATTCCAATGAAATTTAAAACAATTTTAAAGAAATGAACCATACCCCTAGGGGCTCTAGGCATGGACCCGCTTCGGTTCCAGTCCCAGATTGGCTGGTCTCGGTCTGTGAAATGAGAAGCCTAGAACAAAACCGTTATATTAC